TCGGGAGTATGACGTAATTGCATTCACAGTAACATCAATTAAATAATTTAGTAATAGTTACTTAATGTTAAATATTTAATATAAAATATATTACAGTTATGAACAGATATTTGATAATTGTTATGAAATCGTTATATCCCATATAATAAAAAATTCAGTAGGTACGAGTTCTATTTTGTTATCAATATAAATATGTTTTGTTGCAGCACAACGAAAAATTCATTTATTTGCAGCTATTACATCGTTTCAATATCTATTATTACAGATAGTTGGTTGAACCTATCAAAAATTTTGTAACTATTACAAAATCGTTTATTTTGCTCAACTATTCAATAAGTTTCATTTACCAAATATATTTTGGAAGCAAATAAATTTTGCTTCTGTCAAATAAATAATTTATTTTATAGAACTAAATTAATTAATAAGTATTGCCATAGCTTTGGCCCGCTATATTTACGTCTATCATTTAGTAATAGTAACCAAATTTTGATAATATTTACTAAATTCTTCTCTCAGTGTACGTACCATTTTCAGACAACAAATATTTGTATGAAAGAACAGTTCAGATCGCTTGAGCATACTTCACGACGGTCAATTTTTCATTCAAATCATAAAATTCTTCATCAAGAACGACTTTTGAAATTACTTTATGAAGAAAAAATTTTTACTCGAACGGGATCGATGTCTGAGTTTTAAAGGCTTAAAAATGGTTCCAAGTACTCTAGTAGTATCGGTGAGGATATAGGGACACTTCATCTACACTGACAGCGCTAGTTTTCATCCTCTCGATACCCGACAGGACGTATCGCGTGCATATTTTGCTCGGCTCTTATAAATAAAGTGCGAAAGAGAGACAGAAGGAGAGAAAAAGACAACGCAACACGGATAATTGCAAAAAAAAAGTGAAATTATGCAAATGGAATAAAAGTAAAATGTTCCGAGTCCGTCGTTCGCGGGTTTTTCCTCGCGCCTGCTTTCATTCGCGTAGCTAAGCACAAGCTGGCAATGGTCGTTCGAATTAACGCGTTCGGGTCGTGGGTAAATATAGAAGGACCACCCAGCGTGTAACTAATGTACCGCATGGTGGGAGAGATTCCGCCTTGACTCGTTTACCTCTCCTAACCGCGCGGCTATCCTTCTTTCTCCGTTCCCGCGGACGATTTATTTGTCCACGCTGCCGTGGACGATCTCACTGACGCGTGCGCGATCGATGCATAGAGACTTGTTGCAACCTTCTAAATGTGTGTGAGGACGGAAAGAAGGAAGGAAGGAAGGAAGGAAGGACGGAAGTGAAGGTCACTCACCCTGCACCCACAGTTGCTCGACCTTGCTATGAACCTGCGCGGATTTGAGGGCGACGCAGAACGTCGCCAGCGCGAGGATCGCGACGAACAGCACTTTCCCAGCATGCCTCTGCAGGAAGTAACCCAGCTGACTCAGTTGATCTTGCAGTCGCGCCCTGATCCACACCGCCGACCTCTGACCCTCCGCCTTCCCCTGAAAAGAAGACCGCAAGCTCATGAATGTCGTTCTCGACAAAGAACCGCGTGGAAATGCCTCGGCTATTGTACCGCGCCGTACAATACGTCTTATCGATCGCGTTTTTATTGATGAACGCGCGCGCGCACGTGTCGGCCGGACAAATGGGATGCTGAGCGAGTTTCGTGAGAGAGCGTGCTTTTCTAATTGCCGGCGATCCAGTACCATGAACACGCATGCCTAAAAGAGAGACGTTCCAGAGAGACGTCTTATTGTCTCAGAGAGACGTCTTGAAGCGAACATTAAGGCCTCTTAATGTTCTCTGGGATCTTGTTGCTTCTTTTCCGCGACGAAAACGGAGCTCACTTGCGCCGGTGAGGTTTAGTGCAAGCTGTAGACCGGAATAATTTCGCCGGTGTTACGTGGAATAAGAACGGGTGCAAAGAGAAAGAGAGAGAGTGAGTGAGAGAGAGAAAGAGCCGGTTTCCGGGAAAAATCGGTGAACGCACCCGTCGCGAGAGAGTAGTAAATGTGCGGAGGAGGGCGAGGAGGGCGCGAGCACACCGGGGCCTTTAAATTCGTCGCGTGGGTTTGTAGGATGACAAGTGGCGGAAATGGTAGAAAGGGAAAAAAAAGCGAGAGTGAGACAGTGAGACGAGCGGGACGAAAGGAGGAACAAGAGGGGCAAACGGCGGTTCAGGCTTTTAGAGAGGTCTTACGGCTGCTTAAACGAAACCAAGAGAGGGAAAGAGAGAGAGAGGAACCGAGAGAATGAGAAAGAGAAAGGTATGAAGAGAGTGGTGATCGTACAAGGAGAAGTTGGGCCTTACAGAGAGGAGGGGGAGAAAGCCGCGTTTGCAACATTGCAAGCGGCAACGTTGTGCACTACCTGGTGGCCGCCCTGACAATATGTACCGTGGACCACCCGCAACAATGTCTATCTTACGAAGGGAAGGAAGAAGAGATACGTCTAATCTTGAGAGGGAGGAAGAGGGAGAGAAGGAAAGAGAAAGAGGGGAACGTCGGACGGAAAGTCTCGCTACTTCTTTCTCGTGCTCGTAACCGGCTCGTCGAGCGAATAAACAAGATTAAATTTGTAGTAAATATATAGTCGTAAGTGATTCGCAGAATCCGCTGCGAGGTAAAATATTTAAGAAATAAAATATTTTTAAATACTTTAAAATAACATATTTAATCTAATTTTTTTTTATTTGAATATAATAAACAATTGATTTCGTGCAAAATTAAGGTTTTAAGAAAATGCAAATTTCTTTATTTGAAAAATATTTCATATTAATATAAGTAAACACATGTTATTAATGTGTACCTAGAATGAATATTTTTTCTCTCAGTATAATCTTACTTACGACCTCAATACTCTATTTAATACTCTGATATCTTGAAGTCTTCATCAACCTCTTTAGATTCTACTTAACCTACTAGCTATGTTAAGAAGTCCTTTTTAGAAAGTACAAGTAGTATTTCGTACGTTTCCTGCCATTTAGAGGAGGATTTCTGCGCTATTTTAAATAGGACTTCAATTTGTCTTAAACATACACTGATCCTTTGTGATATACAAGTGTTGGAAAGTTCAGGTCGAAAGTAAAGTTGAAATTTCGACCACTTGTGTATAAATGGCGCACAGCTATCCGTGATTTTGACGTCCATGTGTTCGTGGTCGCGTGACGTCATTCGCAGGAAGGATACGTCACGGTGTAATTTTTCATCGCGCGAACGATCATCGTGATTTGTCCCGAGATCACCGTGGCCGCGACCTTTGGAAGGTATACGAGGGTACATACAGGCAGCCGAGGTACAGTTATCCTGGAAGAGTGCGACGTGTGCTCTCTCACGCGGCCACGTATCTCGGGGCGGTAGCCGCGAGTCGAGTATCGGATAGCAAAGTTTTCCGGCCAATTAACTCTTGTGGCGCGCGGGTCTGCACGGCCGCACCGGGTCCTGGGTAATTCTAGACGCGCGGACAATCCGTGTCCGCCACATGGTGCCGCGGGGGCCGCACTGTGCACGTTTGTAAGGCCCTCCACCGCGCTACGCGCGCTCGTGCCGCGCTGCACTTCCGCGATTCGCCGGATGTGACTTCTGGGAGTCGGGTGTCTCTCCAGTGTGAGAAACTCGGGGAAAGTGGAAACTCTCGAATGTTTTCGAGTCAGAATATTGCCGCTTTTCATGAATGCAGATTGAAGAACAAGATTCAAACTCCTGAAAATACATCATGAATATTTTCTTCAAGTGTAAGCTCGTGAAAAATGAATGACTCAAATGTTTTCAAGATTTTCACTTTTTATGGCTATAAACTAAAAAAGAATATAATTCATGTTTGAATTGTTGAATGTTGAACATAAGTTTTTTCCTTTGATGAATGAACTTGTAAAAAATGAAAACTTTCACATGCTTCCAAGTTAAAAAAAATTTTCACTTTTCACGGCTATAGATTAAAGAATGAAATTTATGACTCTTCAATTCGAGCCTTTTCCTTTAATACTTGAACTTGTGGAAAATAAAACGAATTACTTCAAGTTGGAAGATTTTCACGTTTTATAAACGTACAAAAAAGCTGAATAAATATATTAAAAAAAAATGTACTAAATAACAAAATTCGTGGTCGAACCTTTGGTAAGGGCAAGGGTCGTGGGACTTTCCCTAAAAAAGGAGAACGTAAACAGTTTTACGAGAACTCGACGATTTCAGCGGTCATGTGTGTTTTCAAATTATAGAAACGTGGAACTTTTCACGTTTCAAGCTTCTAAAGAGAAGTTGGACGATCGCCACCTTGCTTGTCATTTTGTCCGGAGAATATATACGAGACAGTTGAACAGATCGATCACATGATCCTCCTCATGAGTTCGAATGAGAGTTCCCGGCTGCTATTCCTTTTGTACCTTACACAATCAAGCCGAAGACATCCTGTTAATTGTACCGTTTTACTTCGTGTAACACGCGAAAATCAACGTATCGCCGAACGCGACGCGCCACACATCGGGCGTAACGTGCGGTCGAGAATACTCCATTCTCGCCTGTCGAGGAGTCTCGTTTCACAGAGTGTGAAACGACTGCATACAGGGTGTCCCGTAGTATGTCACTCTGAGGACAAAATCTTCGATGCATTTCGAGATGTCGGTACTTTTCTTCCCCGGTCAGGAGTGATCGTAAAAAAGGGATACTTCGTGAGCGAACGTCCAACTGGATGAATAGACGAAATGATAAAATATCTTCCTCTGAACTGTTCGGCCGAAGAGTAGTGAAAAACAGGACGACAATCTCTACGTTCGTCTTAAAGGGAAACTTCCAAACGCGAGACGTTAAATTAGGCTCACGAATTATAGCACACCCTGTATAAGCACTGAGAGAGCGCACACCGGTATTTTCACCGACCGTTTCGAGAAAGAAACCGAAAGGACGAAGAAGAAGAAGAAGCAGAAGAAGAAGTAAAAGGAAGTCGAGACGCCACGAGTCGCTCTCGAGACGTCTATATAGCGTCCACATATGCAGCAACGCGCGCGCCCGAGAGAGAGTAAGAGAGAGAGAGAGAGAGAGAGAGAGAGAGAGAGAGAGAGAGAGAGAGAGAGAGAG